TATTTATTTTTCCCCCCAAAGCCCCAGTAGATAGTTGTATGTCATAGCTGCACATCCTTCTAGTTGCTGTATGTGGGACACGGCCTCAGCATGGCTGGAGAAGCGGTGTGTGGGTGAGCGCCCGGGATCTGAACCTGGGCCGCCAGCATCGGAGCGCGCGCACTCAGCCACTAAGCCACGGGGCCGGCCCTCATTTTAAGACTGAGGAAACTGAGGCACAGAGACATAAAATAACTTGCCTGAGGTCGCAGGGCTAGTAAGTGGTAGAGCGAGGAGATTAGCTCTTTCACTGGAACCCAAACTGGCTTCAGAACCCCCCTTCTTAGCCAGTGCCCAACACAGCCTGTGGCAGATAGTATAAGAGGATGCCTTTTTTTTTAATGTTGCTTGTGAATTTATGTATAATATATACTCATTTTTTAAAAAACAGGGAAATAGGGGCCGGCCCCGTGGCATAGCGGTTAAGTGCGCGTGCTCCGCCGCTGACGGCCCGAGTTCGGATCCTGGGCGCGCACTGATGCACGGCTTGTCAGGCCATGCTGTGGCGGCATCCCACATAAAGTGGAGGAAGATGGGCACAGATGTTAGCCCAGGGCCAGTCTTACTCGGCAAAAAGAGGAGGATTGGCATGGATGTTAGCTCAGGGCTGATCTTCCTCACACACACAAAAAATAAAAAAATTAAAAACAGTAAAATATACACTGAAATGTGAATAGTGGTTACATCTTGTATTTATCTGTATTTTCCAAATTTTCTATACTGAACATGTACTATTTTATATTAATGAAGCAAAAAAGTTATTTTTAAAAGAAACAGCTCAGTAAAACTTGTTTTTATTGTGAGATTTTTTTAAGTTATAAAGTTACAATAATTAAAACATTGTGGTATTGGCATGATAAAGAACAATTTGGTATTATCCAGTAAAGTTGAAGACAGGCATACCCAGTGACCCAGCAATTCCATTTCTAAGTCTATACCTAACCAAAACTCATTATGTTTGTGCACCAGGATACATGTACAATAGTAAGTGTCCATCAGCACTAGAATGGATGAATAAACTATCATATGTTCATGTGATTAAATACTATACGGCAACAAAAATGAATGAACTACACCTATGCACTGCAGCATAGATGACTCTTAAGATAATGTTGAGAGAAAGAAGCAAAGCACAAAAATATATACAGTACAACTCCACTTGTATAAAATCAAATATTTCATGGGTGGTAAAAATATTTTAAATAAAATAAATCAGCGATGAACGTTAAGAAGTCAAGATAATGGTGACCTGTGGAGGGAAAGAGAAGGCTGGGCCGATGGGCCTCATGGGGGTGCTTTTGAGCTGCCATCAGTGGTCTTTTTCACATCATGCTGGGTCTTACACAGAGGCTTGCTGTATAATTTTTCATTAAGCTGTACATTCATATTTTATGCACTTTCCCATTTGTGTGTTATATTTTACAAGGGAGCAGGCGTTAGCCCGGTTCAGTGAAACTTGAATCAACAGTAAGTTGAGGGCCGGCCCCGTGGCTTGGTGGTTAAGTGAGCGCGCTCCACTGCTGGCGGCCCGGGTTCGGATCCCGGGCTCACACCGACGCGCTGCTTCTCCGGCCATGCTGAGGCCGCGTCCCACATGCAGCAACTGGAGGGATGTGCAGCTGTGACACACAACTATCTACTGGGGCTTTGGGGGGAAAAAATAAATAAATAAAATCTTTAAAAAAAAAAAAACAGTAAGTTGAAGACTCGCAGGAGAGCTTATTCTCAGGACCAGGAAGAGTTGGCCATCTTCTATCTGCTAATCTTTATTATTAGCTCGTGGACTCTGATTCATTGTGACTGTTTTTGTTTCCATCTTTGCTGTTAGAAAACTCAGAGCCAAACTTGTGTTTCATGCACAGCAAATATAGGAGACCACATAGCCGGTGTTTATTGTCCTGACCTCACTCCTGCCCTCATCCTGCTTTTGTTTCCTTTATTTTTCCTCCCCCTCTTATTTCTTCATTTAGATAAAAAATCCCTGTGTATTTTGAAAGCTACCTTAAGTAAGACAGACTATAAATACTTATGTTTGATATAAGTTAATGTTGCTATGTTGCTATTCCCTGACTACCTTCAGACATTGAAAAAGAAAAGGAATACTATACCTGTCTTTTGGTACTCAGGGAATTTTCACTGAATTTGATAACTTGCTAAAGATAATCATCCAAGGCACCAGCCTTTCATATAATGTTTTTATGTGTGTGTGTGTGAGGAAGATCAGCCCTGAGCTAACATCCATGGTAATCCTCCTCTGGTTGCTGAGGAAGACTGGCTCTGAGCTAACATCTATTGCCAATCCTCCTCCTTTTTTTTTCCCCAAAGCCCCAGTAGATAGTTGTATGTCATAGTTGCACATCCTTCTAGTTGCTGTACGTGGGACGCAGCCTCAGCATGGCCGGAGAAGCGGTGCATCCGTGTGCGCCCGGGATCTGAACCCGGGCCGCCAGTAGCGGAGCACGCGCGCTTAACCGCTAAGCCATGGGGCCGGCCCTCATATAATGTTGAATTGGCATATTTGTTACTGTTTTATTTCCTTACTGAGCTTTGACCCACTTATACTTTCTTCTGTTTAAAGGGCACCACTGTGTGCACAGCCAGCTGCCTGCAGCTTCACAAGCGAGCAGAGAGGATTGCGTCTGTTCTTGGTGATAAGGGACACCTAAACGCAGGAGACAACGTGGTGTTGCTCTATCCGCCTGGTAAGTTTGGGGTTGGTAGGCTAGACTTGAGCTCCAATACTAGACTACGAACTGTAGGAGGACAGGAACTCATGGCCGCTGTGTATGACCACGTAGGCTGGTCCCATGGTAGACTTCCCAACTCCAGGAGCCCGTGCACATGGGCTAAGGTGTGAACCAGCCTCACTTCCCAGAGTTGTGCAGCACAATGTTGTGTTTACTCTTGTATTTCCACTGTCTAGCTTAGTGCCTGGCACTGTGGTAAATATTGAATGAGTGAAGGAAGACTTCCTGACTTTTGGAAACCCTCAAAAGACATGCATTGTTTCTAGTGGTGTTCAGGAATGGGACCATTTCACCTAGTTTCCAAAAGGCTGTTGTGCATGAACTCTTTGACTTCACATTCTTCATATCATGATTAATGTTTGGTATTCGTCAGTTGCTACTTTCGTCTTCCATGCTCTAATTTAAATCAACAACCTTCTCTTCACAGTAAGAGGGACTAAGAATTATTTGATCCTAGTTTGATGTAAATATTCAAAATTTTAGGTAAAATATCTGAGTTGTCCCTTTCTTTATTCTTCTGCCACGTAACCCACTCGTACATCCACCTTTTTTGGTCTTTTATCTCCCTTCATTTTGCTCTGTGATTCTTACTATGCTATTTTATTTACATTGATACTAAGATTCTTTAGAAGGTCATCTGGTAAAAGAATCCTCCGGTGTTCCTGTGAGATTGTCTTCCATCCGCCAGTTAATGACGTGGTGATGGACCAGAGCACTTCCTGGAGGAGGCCCCCCTCCAGGTCCTCATGTTGCAGAGTCTTCTTCATGTTGAGTCACACTTTGCCTCCCTAAAACTTGCACCCTTTGATGGAGCAGCTTCTCAGAAGTCTAATTGCTCTTCACCTAGCGGCCTTCTAAATATTTAGAGGAAACTCGCGGGTTCTTCATGTCTCCTTTCCCATTCTTTTATTTCCCCAGGTCAGCATCCCTAATTTCTGCAGTTATTTCTCCGAAGTAATATCCAGTAATGATATCAAAATACCTTCTTCAAGTATCTTTCAAGAGTTTTCTTTACTTTGACTTTCTTTCTTGTTACTTATTCTTGGCTTCTCTATATTTTTTTAAGTTGTTTTACATGCTTTCTTCTTTACCTTCTAAATTTAAAAGATTTCTTCTGCTAGGGTCTCTATTAAATTATGGTCTAAATAACCCATCTGGCGCATGATTTATTAAACTGGTTTGGTAGGTCTGCCTTTTAGTTTCTCAGTGGTACTAGGCAGCTAAGTGCCTCTGTCTTGCAGGCATCGAGTTAATCGCGGCATTCTACGGCTGTCTGTATGCGGGCTGCATACCTGTGACCGTCCGGCCTCCTCATGCCCAGAACCTTACTGCCACACTGCCCACTGTCCGCATGATTGTGGATGTGAGTACCAAAGGGACCAGAAGTCCCGTCCTGCCCCTCATGTCCCCTTGCTCCCCACAACAAGTATTTTTTGAGCAAAAGAATATATATATATCTTGCCTGTCCTCATCCTATAAAATCTAGATTCAGACAGTTAAGGATCCTTACTAGTTTTTCAGTTTTGTTGAGTCAGGAAGCCCAATCTGTCTCCTGAAAACTACCTCCTTTTCCTTAATCTGATCATAGTGACCAGCATTATTCAGTGAAGGAACGTGGGAAAGTGGTTACTGGTGAGTTACAGAATTGTGTGCATTTATCGTGAACATTAAAGAGGCAAACATTAAAATCGTGCTCTGGAGGTGATAGAAGTTTCTACAGGATATGAGAAGTTAAGAAAATAGAATAAATCTGTTTTGCATCAGATCCTAATGTAGTTTAAAGCAAAGAGTTACAAAATTCCAATTTATGTAACATTTGTTTATCTAAGAACTGCTGCGCTGCCGGCAACTGGAGCCTGCAGCATAAAACCTGCATTCACCATAGGCGATTTTATTACAGAGTTCAATTCAGCAAAGTGCTCTTGTCAGATTCTGCAGGGTGTGCCAGAGCAGTAGGGAGGGAAGTTTCCTTCATTGACACAGTTTATGGGGGAGGTTGGTCACTTTGCATTTCCATGTGCAGGTGAGCAGGAAAGCTCGGTTTCTGTGACAACACAGAGTCCCTCAAATTCAGAGTATGTTCTGGGTCTAGTAAGTTTCACCATTCACTAGACTATTGCAAACACTAGCTCCTCCAGAGATGATCTGACTCTTCTCATTCCCTGGGCACTACAAAATCCATGTGTTTATTTTATTATGGCCTTCATGAAATCAAAAGATCGTGGGATTCATGCTGAGATTATAGATATGGAATATTTGAGAGTCACTGTTGTAAACAGTAACTTGTGTTGTGAACAAGTCCGCCATTCTGAGACAATTAAGTGTTAGTCATTTCCAGAGGACAAATGTGGAGAAAACACCGACCTCCATTGTCCTTTGAAAAACTGGTCCTGCCCTGCCCGGTATGGTGTGCGAGTTGCTTTTAGCAGCAGCCAGAGCCTGTGGTGCTCCGTGGGGGCTCAGCCTCCAGGTGCTTACTTCTGTCCACTTGTTCTCTAGGTCAGCAAAGCAGCCTGCATTCTCACCACGCAGACCCTAATGAGGTTACTGAGATCCCGAGAGGCGGCGGCAGCTGTGGATGTGAAAACCTGGCCAACCGTCATTGACACAGGTGAGAGAGACTTCTCCAGAGCTGTTGAAGGAACAAGAACATTCACTCCAAGATTTCCTAGATTCTCATGCTGAAGGTGTTTACACAGCTCTTATGTCACAACACTTCTACCTGCTAAGACAGAGGCAAACCTAATATTCAGTCAGCTTGTGTTACCAAAGAATTGGACACTGCAACAACCAGATGCAAAGAAGCAGATCACAGTATGCCAAGAACTCTTGAAATGAAAAGTGTCTTGCTGTTACTCTTGGCACCATCCAAAGGTGGTTAGGTGTTTATGCTGGATGTGACCATGTACATGTAGAGCGATATAAAATATTGAGAAGATCTGATCCTTGACTTCTAGACATGATATAGTCGAAACAGCATTAGACTAGGAGCCAGAAGGCCTGGTTCTAGTTCGAGCTTCAGTACTTGTTTTCTGTGTAACCTTGTCTGAGATTACCCTTTCCTAAAATACTACCGACCCTTGCCTGATTCTCATGTTTACTGAGAATATCAAATGCAATATACAGTCAGCCCTCTGTATGGCGGGTTCTGCATCCACGGATACTGAGGGCCGACGAAGAGACTTGAGCATCTGTGAATTTTGGTGTCCTCGGGCATCCTGGAACCAATCCCTTGTGGATACCGAGGGATAACTGTAATATGAAAGTACTTTGAAAACCATAAAGTCATGGATTTTAGATGATATGCATAGTAAAGAAGGGGGCGAAACCCAGGGCTCTCTGGAGAATGGTGGTGTAGGGCAGAGTGTGTGTTTTGGAGTCAGGCAGATGGGGTTTAAGTCCTGATACTCTGTTACTCTCTGAGTATCCCTACTACCTTGGGCAGAACTATCTATCCAATGGGGGGCTATAATAACTACTCCGTGGGGCTGTGAAGATTAAACAGCATAATGTAGAGCACCTCGCATGTAGTCATCGTCATAACGCCTTCTGTTGAGTCCTTACTGCCTGCCAGGCCTCTCACGTGCATTACGTAGTTTATCCTTACACCAGCCCTATTAGATAGCAGCTGTTTGTATCGTCATTTTACAGGTAGGAAAACTGAGGTGCAGGGAGGTTAAGTAAGCAGCAGAACTGAAATTCAAACCCAGTCAGTTTGGCTCCATTCCCAGCCTCTTAACCATGAGTTTCCTCCCTCCCTGTTTTTGGTAAGTACAACACAGTATCCACCTCAGGAACATTTACATGGGTTTCAATGCAGGGATCACATGGATTTGTGGTTATTGTGTGCCAGATGCTAAACTGGATCTTTGCATTTGTTACTGAGGGACATAAGCACAGTCGTGTATAATATATAACAGGTGGCTTGTGCTAGTGTTAATGATGCAGGTACATCTACTGTGGTTATTGGACTCGATCACATTTCAGGAAGACCTGAAATGGGCTGTGATACAGACAGCAGGAAGGTTTCTTCAGGCACATGAGTGACCCTGCCCTACACAAAGGTGGCTTGAAGGTGATAGAGAAAGTCTTTAGTTTAACCAGAGATGGGCGCCCAGTGATACAGAGATTTAAAAGTCAGAGTCAGAGTTGTTTCTCGATCCGGAAAGCCAAAGGAGTCGTTGAAGAGGCATGGTTGGGCCAAAGACATCCTTGGTTTTGACATATTTATAAAGCAAATTTGGGGAGAAAGGAGAGATATATAAATAAACGAGCAAAAGAAAATAGGAATCCTGGGGGCTGGCCTGGTGGCGTAGTGGTTAAGTTTGCACGCTGCACTTCGGCGGCCTGGGGTTCGCACGTTTGGATCCCAGGCGTGGACTTATGCACCACTCATCAAGCCGTGCTGTGATGGTGTCCCATATACAAAATGGAGGAAGATGGGCACAGATGTTAGCTCAGAGCCAATCTTTCTCAGCAAAAAGAGGAAGATTAGCAACAGATATTAGCTCATGGCCAATCTCCCTCACCAGAAAAAACAAAGAAGAAAATAATTCCTAACTCTAGATTATCATTCTTAAAAATCTGCCATGTTAACCTGGAGAAAAACAACTTTTAAAGCAGTCCATGATTAATATAACATGTACTAGACTGTAAATAATGAACTCTAACTGGAAACCAGTATGATAACAGCAACTAAAACTTTTTGCGCATTTAGTCAGTTGTTTTCAAAGTGCTTTATCTGCATTAACTGTGCAATAATCTATGAGGGTAGCTAGTCTTACCATTTTAGAGATCAGGAAACAGACGTATAGAGGTTAAATAACTCCAGGGTCACATTGCTGGTAAATGGCGGAGCTGGGATTTAACCACCACCAGTCTGCTTCCTTAGTCCGTGTTTTCCACTACTGTGTTGTAATACCCTCACTAACCTTCTAGTAATTATGTTTACCTGATGTAGGTTTGCTTGCTTACACTGTCTAGTGGTGTCCCACCTCTAGGAGTGACATGCAAGCTGCTTGGTTAAATACGAGAAGCTTAAGCTTTAGCAGATCCCAGCAGCTAAATTTGGCCATAGCAGAGCCACAGAAAACCAGTTGAAGAGCAGTGATTTTCATGTTCCAACATGTGTGATTGACATCAGGTTTTTCTTTTCATTGCAGATGATTTACCCAGGAAAAGGTTACCTCAGCTGTATAAACCACCTACTCCTGAGATGTTGGCTTATCTTGATTTCAGTGTCTCCACAACTGGCATGCTTACAGGAGTGAAGGTAGAGTAGTCTGGACGTATTCACTCCCTCCCTGGATGCTGGTAAGGTGCCAGGTCTGCAGAAAATAGAGATGGCCGCTGCCCCAGGGACTTCAGATGTAGAGGCCAACTGGTTGTACCAGTGACCAGTAGGCGGAGGATCAAGGGTCCCTGCTATATTTAAATAAAAGCCTTGGCCCTTCCGGGGTAAGTTATCCCGAGGAATTTGTGTTATGCAGTGTTCTGAACCCAGCATAGAGGCGAACGGATAGTAAGAGTTACAGTTAAAGCCAGTATGAAATCACAGACTCATATTTTATAAAACTCAGAATTGACTGAGGAACAGAAATATGTTAAGTTAGACTTAGATTAAGCTTTTTGAAGCAATGAAAAATACACATCATGTTGAGGAGTTTGGGGGAATCAAAATTTCCCAAAACTATCATGAGAGCTGTTTTTCTGCCTGTGGGATGCCAGTTCCTTCCTGTTCCATGTTCCTCACTTTCCAGATGTCCCACTCCGCGGTCAATGCTCTTTGTAGAGCCATCAAGCTCCAGTGTGAGTTATATTCTTCTCGGCAGATCGCCATCTGCCTTGACCCTTACTGTGGACTTGGCTTCGCACTCTGGTGTCTCTGCAGGTAGGAACGGAAAAGCAAAGAAGCAGAATGCATGGGGCTGTCTTTGGGGCTATAACCATCTCATGCTTCCATTTGCTCCCTTAATTTGGTAAAGTTTCAATAAAATGCTGATGTTTCCAGAATTTGTGTACCTAATGTATCTCTTATGTTTGTTTAGTTTTGTTTGTATGCTCTTTTTTTCTTTTCTGTTAGTTTTATGCCTCATACGAAAGGTCAGTGATCTTATTACCTGCTCTCTGCTCCATCCTGTCATCCTTATTTTAGAAGCAGAGCCAAGTAGAAGGATGATACTTGGGTAAAATATGTCATGCTTTGACAGCCAGAATGCACCCCCTAGGCTTGGCAGGAAGGAATATAATGAGGTGGGATGACAGCATGTGGCTGGCAAGTAGCACGTCTGTCCTGGCCAGATTGTTTCTTGTGGAATAGCAGATCCCCACTCCTTCCACTCTCCGCCCAGGGAACCTTCTCTCAGACCTACGTCTGAGACATCGGTGGATATCTCCATGAATGCTTCACAGTTGTCTGCAACTCAACATCCTCCTTCTGTGTCCCCATCCTTGTTGGAATGGGATCGTCCACCCTGGGGCCCAAACTAGGAACTTGGGCATTATTTTCAACTTCTATATCTTTAGGTCTCGCATCCAATTAAATGTCATGTCCTCTGGCTCAATCGTTCCCAAATCTATCTGTACATAAGAATCACCTAGGGGTCTTTAAAAAAAAAATTAGTAGGCCTACCCACACGAACTACCTTAGATCTCCAAAGGTGGAGACCACAACTGCAGTATTTTTTTGTGTGTGTGAGGAAGATCAGCCCTGAGCTAACATCCAATGCCAAGCCTCCTCTTTTTTGCTGAGGAAGACTGGCCCGGGGCTAACATCCGTGCCCATCTTCCTCCACTTAATATGGGACTCCACCACAGCATGGCTTGCCAAGCAGTGCGTCAGTGCGCGCCCGGGATCGGAACCGGCGAACCCTGGGCCGCCGCAGTGGAGCGCGCGCACTTAACTGCTTGCACCACCGGGCTGGCCCCCTCCAGTATTTTTTAAATACAGGATTCTTAGGCTCCTGGTGATTCTAATCGATACTCACATTTAGAAAGTTAAGGATTTATGGCTATAGATTATACATACGATATGTGACTCTGCCGTTCCTTCCTTTTTATTCTGGCTGCACTGTCGGGGTTCAAGCCCTCATCAGCCCTCACCTGGACTATTGCAGCCTCTCCTAACTGTCTCTTAGCCTTCAGTGTCTCGGATCACTCCTCCATGTTGCTAGGTTTGCCCCAACTTAAAGCTGCGACATCTGTCTGCTGGGTAGAGTCTAAACTCCTTCCTACTATAGTTAAGCCTTTTCACGGTTTGGTCCCAACCCTTCTGGCCTCACTTCCCACCACGTTCTGTGTATCCTGTGCTGCAGTATTTCACACTGGGGTACTATTTCTGACGACCTTAAACATGCCGTGCACTTTTATACCTCCATGCCTTTGCATATGCTGTTCCTCTGCCTGGAATGCTCTCATCACCGTTCCCACTTCCACCAGCCACTGCAAATTCCAGCTCATTCTTCAAGCCCCTGCTCAAGTGACGCCTACTCAGTGAAACAGCTCCGCCCCAGCTTCCCCAGTTTGAATGGCTTACTCTTTATTCTGTGATCTCATTGTCCTTTATGCACGTCAGTTACCACAGCCCGCTTTGTTTTATAGTTACTGTCTTGTGAGTTGCATAGGAACAAGGCTGATTCTTAGACCTTTATATCTAATATGGCCCTACGCTGTCCTTCGTGCTCAGTAAATATTTGTTGAATTGATGGTTTTCTAAAACGTCAAGATATCCAGGATGAATTGATAATATCAACTCCTGCCTTTCTTCCTTGCAGTGTCTATTCAGGTCACCAGTCCATCTTAATTCCTCCTATGGAGTTAGAAAACAACCTTTTCCTCTGGCTCTCCACCGTCAACCAGTACAAAATAAGGGATACTTTCTGCTCCTATTCAGTGATGGAGCTCTGCACCAAAGGGCTTGGAAACCAAGTGGAGGTGCTGAAGGTAAGAAGCTACCATGAGGAGCCGGTCCTGAGGTTTTACAGAAAGAGGCCAGGCCTGGTGGTATCCACGTAGGGTTGACAGACATATCTGCCTGCTTTTTTCTAGCCTGTCAGACAGGTGTTTTGCCTCAGGAAGTTTCTCTCTTCCACATTCTAATTTCCTGCACTCTTGCAGTGTTTAATCTGAGTCTTCACTTTGTGGAGAAGAAGGTGAAACTGTTGCAGAGGCTGAATGAAAATGACTTTATGTGAAGATGAAAGGGAACTGTGACCTCCAATAGCATTTTTCCAATAGAATTTGCAACCTCAGAATGTTAGAGATTGAGGCCTGCTCCAGAGATTAGGGCAGCCCGTTCATGTGTATTCAGTGATCGTATGTCTAACTGGCATATGAGAGAGTCAGAAAACCCCAAATTTTCTTTAATCGAGAAATATGACCTTAGAAGGAAAAAACGAGACAAGAGATTCAATCTCCAGGGAGGTAGAGTCCTTTTTTCTCGGTCCCATCTGTCCATTTTGAAATAGGGAGAAATCTAAGGTACAGAAATGGGGAGGGATAAAAATGGATTGCTGAAGAACCTAAGATGTTCAGGTGAAAGAGGAAGGAAACAGAGAATGAGCAGACTTACCATTGGGTAATGATTTTAGTGGAATGCCTTGGCATTTTCTGAAAACTTTTGTCTTTTCTCTGGGTGTCCGAGGTGAGAATACACAGTTCCTTGGTTTTTCCTGATCAGAAAGGTAGAGCAATGGCCCTACCTCTTCGGTTCTTTTTGTGATCCCACTGACTTCAGCTCCCGTGCCTCGTGTCTTACAGACCAGGGGAATCAACCTCTCTTGCATCCGGACATGTGTGGTGGTGGCTGAGGAGCGGCCCCGTATCGCCCTCCAACAGTCCTTCTCCAAGCTCTTTAAAGACATCGGTCTGTCCCCTCGGGCTGTCAGCACCACTTTTGGATCAAGAGTCAATGTAGCGATATGTTTACAGGTGACTATCATGATATCTTGGTAACAAATGGAGGAGGAATGCGTGGTGCTCCAGAGCAGAGGCTGCGAAGCCCGGCTGCCTGGCATGAGCCACAGTTCCACTTACTGGCTGTGGGACTGTGGGCTTTTTATTTGGACTTGCTGTGCCTCATTTGCTCATCTGTAAGGTGAAGATAATAGTATCGTCCTTCACAGGGTCATTCTGTAGAACCACTGAGTTACTAGGTACCACGCTCTGGGAGCCATGCCCGGCAGTTGATACCAGTGTAAATGTTTACTCTTAGTAGTAGTTTTATGGTCCGTGACGATGAATCAAGAAGATTTCTGAGTCCTATTAGAATTTTATTTATATCTCACCTTCTGTTTTTCTGTCTCCTCCATATTTTACAACTGTTTTTTGCAAAGGAAGCACAAATAAGCCTGCATTCTTTTTCTCCAGCCAGATGGCAAGTTTGCCATGTTATTCTTGGTGGGTAAATAACAAAAAAGGGACTGAAATAACAGAAAAGAACTGAGTCTGATTTTATGTAGCTTGAAGGCTAAGGTAAATACAGGCATGGCCGAGAGTGGGAGTGAAAGAAGGCAGCACACGTGGGGATACTCGCAGGGCTTCTGTGACCATGGTCGAGGGCCTTTCAATCAGCAGAATGATGCTTTGCCCTTAGAGCCCATCATGGGCCCCTTGCTGTCCGCTTGGGCCAGTGCTGGTTTTGAAAGTCCCATAGAGGCTGGCCTTTGAGGCTTTGAGTCCTGGGATGAGGACCCTCCTCAGCCTGGTAACCTTTCAGTGCTGCGTAGGCCCCTGGCCCACCCTCCCGAGGCAGTAAGGACAGAAACATGAGGAGAAAGCCAGCCCGTGGGCCTTTCAGGTGTTGACTGCAGCCCTGCCTCATCTGGTTGAAGAGAGGGTGAGCTTTCCAAATAGAGGTTGGGTTTTTCACGTATATGGCTAAATTTCTGTTTCTTGATTTGAAAATGTAAAATATGGAAATATAATTCATTTACATTTTAAATAAACAATGCATTGATTTATTTTTCTTTAGGGAACCTCAGGGCCTGATCCAACTACTGTGTATGTAGATCTGAAATCATTAAGACATGACAGGTACAGTAGATTTATTATGCTCATTCCCTATTAGAGTTCGGAAGCATAAGAAGTTCTGAGCTTTGAGAAAGCCAGCGCTCTCTCTCATCTCCTGGGGAGGGATGGGAAGAGGGAAGGAATTCGTTTTCATTATTAATAGCTGATAAGATTTACATTTATAAGAAAAAAGCTTTAATTCTCACAGTTGCTGCATTGTTCTTTAATATTAAAATGTAACACTTAGTTCCTGCCTGTGTAAAAGTATTTTGTGACATTTGATATAAATTAAACTAAAGTGGATAGACTCTTTCCTGTGGGAGTTTAAAAATAAAAGGTGGGACAGACAAGATAAATGAGGCCGAGGACGGTTTTTGAAATAATACTTTATCTGAACCCCAGGAGTAACAGCCTTCCTGCTCATCAGCCTACAAGGAAATTTTAGCTGTGTGGCAAGTGAGCACCTGGCCTGAGGTCTCTGGGGCCTCTTCCCAGGTCCCGCTGACTTTGGCTGTGCTTGCTGCTGTGCCCGGGGCCCTGACCCAGCCTGCACAAGTAGAGCATCTCTCTAGTGCAGAGGGTCCAGCCTGGGGAGATTTTGGCCTCCAGAGGACCTTTGACAAGTCTAGAGACATTTTTGGTTGTCACAAAACGGGGTTGCTACTGACATCTAGTGGGTAGAGGCCTGGGATGTTGCTAAACATCCTACAATGCAGGACCGCCCCCTCACAAAAAATTACAACAAAACATTATCTGACCCAAAATGTCGGTAATGCTGAGTTCAAGAAACACTGCTGTAGCGTGAGGAGAGACAAGTTAGAGGTCTTGGGAAGGCGTACGTAGCTGTGGTAGACATGTGCAATGGTTTTTTAAAAGCCTTATGTACAGTAAATATTGTTCTTCTGCAGGGTTCGTCTTGTGGAACGGGGTGCCCCCCAGAGTTTGCTCCTCTCAGAGTCTGGAAAGGTAATTCATTCTGTTAACCATTGGGAAGGTAGTCTCTGTGGAGAAGTGGTTCATTCAGGTTCTTTGGAAACCTGAAGCCATATAATATATTGGTACCCAGGGCAAGACTTAATTGAAATCTGGAGATAATTCAACAATTTCAGCTTAGCCAGTACTTTCAAATTCATACGGGTACATAGACAAGAAAATACTAGATTTGGACTTTCTTAATTTCCATAGATTTTTTAAAAATCCAATTGATGTGTTATTCTTATTTGACAAAGCAGCAAAATTCAACATTCTTATATTCAAGGTGGAGAGATGAGCAACACTTGAAAAGAGCCAATTCTATGTTTATAAATGTTACAAGGAGAAGAAGAGAGTGGCAGGTGGGGGATGTGGTTTACATGTGGAAAGATGTACGCCACATGTTGAAAGTTCAAAGAGAAATCAAAATGGGGAAGTGATTAAGATATTTGAGAGTTATTGTCTGTGGGGATAAGATTTCTTAGATTAGAATGAGGCTTTAAAACGTTGAAGGAAAGATTTAGTTATTGTCCTAGTCCATTCAGGCTGCTGTAACAGAATATTGTAGACCAGGTGGCTTATAAACTACAGAAACATTTCTCACAGTTCTGGAGGCTGGGAAGTCCAAAGTCAAGGTGCCAGCAGATTCTGGTGGGGGATTTCTGGTTCACAGATAGCTTATCACTGTGTCCTCTCATGGCCAAAGGGGCAAGGGAGATCTCTGGGCCTCTTTTCTAAAAGCATTAATCCCAATCATGAGGGCTCTGCCCTCGTGACCTAATCACCTCCCAAAGGCCCCACCTCCTAAAACCGGTTGTCACATTGGGGATTAGGTTTCAACATATGAATTTTAGGGGGGACACAACATTCAGTCTATAGCAGTTTTGAACAATTTACTAAGAGTGATAGAACATCAGCTAAGCTATCAAGGTTCTCATCCTTTTGAAGAGATAGTGATGATGCTTCAGAATCCCTTCTAGTAATTCTGAAAGGCAGAGGACAAAATTGGGAAGGAAGAAAGGGATCCTGGGGCCGGCCCGGTGGCATAGTGGTTAAGTGCGCGCGCTCCGTTGCTGGTGGCCTGGGTTCAGATCCTGGGCGCCCACCGACGCACCGCTTGTCAGTCCATGCTGTGCGGCATCCCATATAACGTGGAGGAAGATGGGCACAGATGTTAGCCCAGGGCCAGTCTTCCTCAGCAAAAAGAGGAGGATTGGCATGGATGTTAGCTCAGGGCTGATTGTCCTCACAAAAAAAAGAAAAAAAAAAAAAGTCTGTATAGGTAAATGAATGAGAGCAACTGTTATCTATCAAAATTTAGGTCTGGATACTTTT